CCCCCCCCCCAAACAAAAAAAAAGTATGTCAACCATTCACCTTCATACTTAGGACTCTAGCTAACTTAATTGATTAATGACCTTGCAAGACTCTTAAGTGTTGGTAATTGTTGAACACATGGCTAAAGTTTAGTAAAGCTCTATATCCATTACAAGATGCCAAAGAGCTAATTGTGAGAAAAAAGCCCAGTGTTGCCAAACATAAAAAGGTGAGACATAAAATAAATAGCAAAGTATCAATTGCACTTGAATTGTTGAGAGTACTAATATGCATAATGTCATTGCTCACATATAAAGCTCAAAGAGCTACACATGTTTAGAAGCATAACATGTAAATTACGGAATTCAAATTCATGATAGTTGAAAAAATATGAGTAGAAAGGATGAAAAAATAGGAGGGAGTGTTAAAAGAGAATAGACAAGATGCGTTTACAACACTCACAAACTGGTCATGTATTCACTTAGATAATGCATCAAGAATTCATGTTGAGCTTTGTTAATTCATTAATCTAGAAGAATTTCTAATAGTGTTGTAGATTGATTTCACACACATCACACTTGAATTGCTCAAGTATGTAATATTCAAACACGTGTGAATGAAATTGAACTATTTCAAAGGACGTTGCTCTAGGATGTATGATGATTAAGTTCTACATTCATTAATATGTTTTAGAGTAACGAACTCAACAATGAAATAGAGATGGATATGCTATATTGAGAATATGTGTGATTTTCATGATTAATGACATTTTGCGTTTAATTGTTGAAATTGAAAATTGAATCATACTATTTGATTCTTATTTCATCCATGCATGTGCATTAGTTGCAATTAAATTGTATATATACTCATTCATGTTTGTTGAAGCTGGAGAAGTAGTTAAGAGCCATAAGGGATGAGTTGCAAAACCCATCGCTCAAGTGGTTGGGACATGGCTTAAGTGGTCTCTCTGTTGGTCAGACAAACAAACTTCATTGTTCAGTTGAGACTACTTATAAAAGCTACAAGTTACTACTTATGGTCCTCTGAGCTTCCACTAGAGAAGAAGAAGTCCGAGTCAACCCACTTGGGAAATAACGACCATGCCTAGTTGTAGGAGGCATAGTATTGAACCATTCATATGCTTTGATGATCTATCACTTAGACTTTGAGTTAAATGTCAAGTTTGTGCTTTTCTTTGTTCTATGTGCATGTTCTTGCTAGTTGAGTTGCATTGTTATGTCTTTGTTATATTATATTTTGCCTTATATGTTATGATATGCCATTGGATTGACATTTTTTTGACAAAAAAGGGGAGAATTTTGGGGTAATTTTGGAGAAATTCTTTTTGCTAGCTTGCATGGGAATAGAGATGGGTGAGTTTGTTCAAATATTCAAAGGGAGTACATAAACAAACTTGGCATGAAGTCAACTATTTTTTTTATTTATTTTTTACTTTTTATTTTACTTGTGAATAGCAACTAAAGGGGAGAACTTATTATGAATTGTCTTTGATATATCTATAGGGCTAGCATTGCTAATACATGTTATATGTTTACACTTGCGTGATGATAACATGAAAATTCCCTATGCTTCCTTGGTGCTTACCATATATGTGATTATCTATGTCTTTTATACATATTATTTATTTCACAAGGTTTTGGTTCAAGCTGTGATGTGAAAGACGATGATCTTCAACACATTCATTAGAAGATAGTTCTTATACATAGATATTGAGATTTAGAGACTTGTAAATGAGTGTTAAGAGTTCATTACAATTCATTTTGTTCAATGGTTTGTGGGTTGTAATTGTATAATTTCTTATGTATTTTGTCATGAAATTGCCAAAGGCAAGATTGCTAGGATTGTATTTATAATTGGCTAATTTTGTAAAGTCTTTTATAAATTTCAACCAATTCCATGCTCATGATGCCACCACGTCAAGTTTGGGAAGCAACAAGTAAAGGGAGGAGTTCAAGCTACAATGACACATCGAAAACTCTTTGAATGCACCTTCATGCTTAGAACAAATGTAATGACATTAGAAATCTTAGCACCCTTGGTTTAATTTTAGACTTAGATTGGTTAGGTTAAAATGGAATTGGTGATTTATCCGTTATTGACTCTTAGGCATTCTTCAAAGAAGAGTTTTTCTAAACCATTTTGTATTTTAAAAACATAGATTTGAGTCATGAATTGAACCCTGCTTAAGCAACACTTTTTAGTGCTCAAGGGGACAACTTTTTACTTGGTATCTAGCTTAAAAACCAATAGGGGCCACNCAGTCATGAATTGAATCCTGCTTGAGCAACACCTTTTAGTGCTCAAGGGGACAAATTTTTACTTGGTATCTAGCTTAAAAACCAATAGGGGCCACCTTCAGTTTGTTTGCCTTCAGCTAGAGTGATCTCTGAACATTTACAAGTAAAATTAGGAAAGGTCGAACACAAATGGGCAATGGAGACCGCCCTCTAGGTCATTCTCAGGTTGCTTAGGAGGTCCCTACTCTTCTACTTTAGTTTCAATTGCAGTCTCATTTAAGCAACCATTGCCCTCTCACTGCTTGACCGGTCACTCTCGAATTTTAGTTTTCTTGGTTTAATTAATTGAGAAGAGGTAATTGTGGTAAAATTAGGTTGTAAATTAGTATATGTGTGAGCATAAAATTAAAATTAATCTTTTCACCCCCATCTAGGTAGTGCATTAATCCCACATGTTTCATTGTGAGGAACAATCCATTCCGCATAAAGGGTAACAATTATCCTTAGACAATCCCTCAAGAACGGAAATGAATCGATCGAAAAGTACTTTTAGTTTGGGCATCTCTATCTCCTCTCGTCTCTCCAGTACTATAGCCATGTACTCAGTCTGGGCCTTGCTCTATGTTTGCCATCCAAAGGGTTGTATTTTCATGAGTGCTCCCAACTGTAAGAGAACAGTATCGTGTAGTAACTTGAACAGAGTCCAAGGTCATCTTCTCAGGATAGGAATTGCAATCCAAGGTGCTGAAAAATAAAAAGGAAAAATTCTTTGAAATTTGAAAGTTTGAAAATTAATTACTAATGAAAACAAAATTCAATAATTGGAAAGCTAAATAGTCTTTAGAATTCATCCTACCTATGAATAAGAATTTCTACTCTAAATCTATAACTCATCTACTATTACAGATGGACGATTTTCAACTAAACATTTTGAAAAGAATCGAAAATAGCAATTGAAAGTCTATGACAAAAGAAACAGTATTTTAAAGGTTGCAGAAAACACCACAAATTATCATACCAAAGCCAATTGTATATAGATAATCAAGACGTATGCAAACCAATTAGGTTCCTGAAAGCATAACTTATTCGAACAATCATATAAACATTAAAACCCTATTTTAGAGCATAAACCCTTGTTCATAGATTGTGACTCCTTTTTTAGAGTATCTAGAGAAAGACTACTCACTCATGATAACGTAAACAAAGAAGACATAATTAAATTCAAAGAAGTAAAAATTAATTTGAAAGTAATTGCTTGAATTAAAAAACAAAATTTAAATAACAAAGCTATGAAATTAAAGGCAAACGAATGTATATCTGTTGAACAATTGAATAAAACTTAAAAGAAAGAACAGTAGAAAAACTCTAAAGAATAACCTAACACTCCCTAAAACGTAAAAAAAATAATCTATTTATTGTAATTGGAGGGAGAATCTTCAGATCTTTAATACATATCCTTCCTAAAATTATCTCCGTCTCCAATTGGTTAAGAAGCCCCAAAAGATTTAGTAAAAATCTGATCTTTAATTGAGTTTCCTGTAGAAATCTACCTTTACCTATTGGTAGTAACTCCTTCTGCAGCACAATCTACCGGTAAAACAGTGAAAACTACCATCAGAACTTTGTCTGACAAAATCTCTGAAACTTCTATGGCTTTTCCTACCGGTTAAACATCCTCACCTACTGGTAAGATTTCTTCTGACAAAGTACTAGGACATTTCCTACCAATATAATATGTAGCACCTATTGGTAGGACTTCTGCACTAATCTTTTATACTCCAAGCTTCCTATAGAATTAACTTCCTACTAGTAGAATCTTCATTTTTCTACCTTCCTACAGGTGGATCTTCTCTTTTCTTCAAAATAACTTCCAAGACTCCTGGCTTCATCTTTTCCTGAGCAAATTCAATCCCAACTTGTCCCTTGCCATCTTATCAATGCTTAATCTCCACCTTTACACCTAAACTACCTGCAAACATAGAAATCACTAAGTGAAGCAAGTTATTTTGTTAGCAAGTATACAATGAATATGTTAAGCTATAAAATGATGCAATATTGAGCACTCAACACTTTGCTTGAATGAACTCTTTTTCAAAGGCTTCATAGGGCAAGCATATAGCTCCTTTTACCTTATTGATACGAGTGATCAGTGATCCAAAAGAAAAAGTATCTAACACTCTCCCTTCCAAAAGAACTCTCTGAATGGTACTCAAAATCATTAATGGTAGATCTATATCTAACCCTCCCACCCTATAGCATATAACATGTGAGCTCTATGAACTGGGAATCCAAAAATATGGGACTTCGAATCAATGTTGCAGTTGGCTATCAGGTTTAACATCCTATACTCTAAGGTTAGAAACTTTGGCAAACAATTTAGTGTAACCTAGTGCACAGGATGGACTATACCATAGCGTTCAGTAGCCAACTCATGGAGACGAGGCAAATACTCAACCAGAACTCCGCTCAAGCTATTTATCTCTACTCTAGGTGGCCCAAATGTGGCAGCAATAAGATCTTCTGAAAATGTGAACTCAATCCCTCAAATATATGTGACAACATGGTCTACTTTGGGATTGGCATCACAAATATGAGTGTAGAACTCTCTTACTATTCTAACATTCACATACACATGGACATTAAACAATTATGTCCACCCACGATTCTTCAAGCTCAAAGAGACAGAAGAAGTTACCTCTCTAAAGTTTACCCCTGTTCTACGATCACTATCCTAAGAGCATACTATGTCATGTATCCCGTTGAGAAATTTGGATATTAAAATCTAGTGCTTTCATCAATCTTCGCATCGACTTCTTCATGTAGTTCCACAACCCTATGCCTTTTCTCTCTATGTGAAGCCATCTCAACAAACTCTTTAAGAATCTAGGTCTCATGTATGAAGGTCAGGTAGTGAATCAACCCTAGAAGGCTTGTAACAAAAGTTTGAGAGTGTTTATGACTAAGGGTCTTAGAATTCATGAGGCTTGGGACATGTATTGTAGTGCTAAGAATAAAAAGGGGCCATCAAATTCTTTTTTAAAACCCTGGGTGCCGACTTAACACGATGCCACTCAAGCAATCCTTATGTTTTTTCTCTTTTTTGACAACTCAGCTTCCATGCTTCCACATACAATCTTGACCCTCCATCCACTCCTCCAAGGCATCCTTGAACCCTCAAATGCATGCATGGTGTATGTACAACCAAAATGCAACTAAATACACATGCATTGATGAAATTAGAACAATACATTGCTCTATGGCATGTTCAAAAATATTGAACTTAATTTTATGCATCCTAGAACAATATTCCCTTACTTAGTTCAATTTCATTTACAAGGGTTCAAATTTTGTTCAACTTTGACTAATCCAAGTGCAACGTGTGTGAAATCAAACTCTGACACAATTAGAATTATGTTTAGTTCAAATTTTAATGCATCATCTAAGTGAATACATAACTGGTTAGTGATTGTCCTAATACAACTCCCCCTTTCTTTTCTCCATTCTTCTCTTATGGCTTCAATTAACACTATTGCGAATTCCATACTTTATAAATATGCTACTAAGCATGTTTAGTTATGAGCTTTAAAAATGTGCCATAAAATTTAAGCATAAGTACTCTCAACAATTCAATTATAATTATTATTTAGCCATTTATTTATGTCTCACCTTTTAAAGATTGGCTATATTGAGGCCTTTTCTCACATTTGGGCTTTGGCATCTTTTAAGGGTTTGGGGTTCAACTAATCTTTAGTCATGTGTTCACCTATCACTAGCACTTAAAGTCATGGAAGGTCATTAATAAATTAAACTAAATAGACTCCTAAGTATGAAGGTGAATGGTCGGCATGTACGGTTTATGAATTTTTCAAAGGTAAATACTATCCAAACACGCTAGGGAATGGGTGGAGGACTAATTCTTTTCTCTCTGGGAGTGTGCAAATCAATCTTAACCTTGGGGATAGGAGTTTTATGCACTCTAGCATTTGAGCCTATAGAAGATGAAGCATGACTATGTTTGGACTTACTTGACCTACCCAAAAGCTGAGAAAAATTTAAAACTTGATTATTCAAAGATTTGGATTGGTTGACTAGATGCAAGAGCTTCTTATTAAAAACATCCCTATCTTTCATGCAATGTCTACTATGATAACCATGTTCTCCACAAGTGAAACACAAATCATGATTGACTTGGATTTCTTAATAACTAGCTTCTTTAAGTTCTTACCTTTTCCTTTTTCAGTCTTTGATGGACTATTTTTCACTCGTGGGGGCTGATAGGTTGTGATTACCCTTCACAAACATTGCCTTTGAGGAAATGTTGGTGGTGTGTTCATGTGTGTAGCCTAGACCATGCTTGTCACCCAAATTTTTTTCACATAGTTATCATTCTAGCAAACTTTTCGTTACTTAGGGGAAGTCTTTTAGAGAGTTCATCTGATTCATAAAGATCTTTTATCAAGTTTAAGTTATTTAGACTCAAGATTCTTCTTTGACTTGACAATCTCATGACGCTCTCGCTCAAGGAAGCTCACTCTATCAAGAAAAAACTTCTCCTCTTCAAGCCCACAAATTTGAGCTTTGGACTTCACTAAGTCCATATGTAGTGTTTTATATCTTCTTCACTCGAGTTTACCCTTCCACTCAAGGTAAGGCACTTCCTCTTGTTGTTTGAGAAATTGCTCATACAATTGATCATACATATCATGTATATCCTCAAAACACTCTTCATCCTCAACACTTGTGGGGATTTCTTCTTCCAATTCCTCTACCATCGTGGTAGGAGTTGCTTCAACCTCACTAGTTGAATTTTCTCTAGGTAGATAGGAGAGGACATACGAAGACCATGAAATTATGTTCATCATCTTGAAAAGAGGAGTCATCACTCGATGTGGACTCACTTTCACTCTACTTGGCCTTTATAGCTCTCCTTTTTTCTTTGGGGAAATCTTTCTTTGTTCGATTTGGGCATTCTGAAACCATGTGTCCAAATCTTAACACTCAAAGCATTCGAAGTCTTACCCCTTTCTCTCAACTTCTTATCAAGAGCTTCTTCCCCCTTTCTATCTTCCCACTTTAGGATTAGTATGCTTACTAGGCTTTATGTAAACCCCACACTCTTATCTTTATATAACAAGTAATTATTTTTGAAATGCTAATATAGGTGATGGGGTATGCATGAACCCTATAGATTGTAATAGTAGGAATAAATACTAGGGAGACAAATTGATTGTGAAATTTAATTTTTGGAGGTGTTTAAGGTTGATAAGGGTAACAAAGTAAAAATATTAATTTTTTTTGGTCAAAATAATATTATCATTGAACCTGGGAGATCTAAAAAACTTGGAATAACCATTTAGCACATATAGCAGTTCGGAGGAATAAAATAGTAATTTTAGTGTTTCGAGTGTAAATTTATTTTAGTTTTTAGATAAATCATAAAAATAAATATTTTTAGTTTAAAATAACATTAAAAATAAATCTAGAATGTCGAAAAATCTTAGAATAGTCATATGGATCAAATTAGAGATTTTTAGTGGCAACACCGTAATTTTGGAAAAAAAACTCAAATTTCAGCTCATGAACAGTAACTTTCAGGACTGCTATGTTTAAAATATAGATTTCAGCACATTTTCTTCCATTCTTTCATTCCACTCTCCAAATCTCTTAGAATCCTAGGAGAAGATAAAGGAAAAAAGAAAAGGGAAGAAAAAAGTCTCTAAAGCTTGGGTTTTGCTTGGAATTCTTGATTGCTAGGTAGGGGTTTCTTCTCACTCTTGTCCATTGGTATTTTTCCTTGCAAATCCTATCATGTTTTGAATGAAGTTATGGTTGATAGCCATGAAATCCTTGTTGTAATCTCAAAGCCCTTGATTCTTTCAAGAAATAGAGATTTTTACTGTTGATATTACTTGTTCTTGATTTCAAAAATCTAGTACTCTGTTTGAACAATAAAAATATATGTTTGATGATCTTTTGCATATTTTTTTAGAATTTGCTCCGTTGGAAAAATACCAATGGAATTGGGGGTTTTTGATTTATTTGTGATTTGAGAAATTGGTTGGTATTGTATCTCTTGTGTGGATGTTTGGATGACCATGGGTGGCCAATGACCAGGTATTGAAGATTGGGTAGATGCATTTTTTACTCAGTGCGGGGTTGAATTTTTCTTACCACTTGTAGCAGGGTTGGTGCCTTGCGAGGACCAAACTACTATTCGTTCACGGGTATCGAGGCTGAGGGTTAGTATACTATTCCTAGGTTGGATTCTTCATTTTCAATGTGTTAGAATGCACCCTTCCTAAAGTTGTATATCCTTGAGAGGATTTGGGTGTGTGTGTGTGGGCCAAGATATTCCCGATGTGTTTATTTATGCGATATCTTACATCATACCTGAGATACATTGTGGGCTATTGTTTATTGTGAAATGGTTGGTTATGGTTTATTGTGCAAAGGAGTTTATTTTGGACATGGTTATTGTGAAAATGGTAATTCGTTGGAATTGTTATTTTTGAGAATTGGTTTTACTTTTTATTTAATTACTGCTATTGTGTAAACTTGAGATCCATTGAAATGTCTATATTTTCCTTCAAAAGCTATATATGATATTTGTAAAATGAAACCGACTATTTTATATGCTTTCGAAACCTTGTTAGAGTTGGGGAGAATTTTCCTACAAAGCTTAGTGCTCACCCCCTACAAACAATATCTTTTTCAAATTATGGTCTAGAGGAGGAGCTCGGAGTTGATGAGTCAGTACATTGGGAAGCTCCAATAGATGCGAACATGAATCCCGAGGTGGACGTTTAGAGTTATATTCCCTTATGTTCTCGACTAGAAAATTTATTTTGAGACAATTTGAAGTCTAATATTTTCGTTATTCCACTGCAAGATAATAGTTGATTTTCTTTTGGATGTAATTTTCATAGCTGGGCATATTATTTTGGATGATATTATATATATTGTGGATGATGAAGGAAATTCTCTTTTGTTATGAAGTCCATTTAGTTGCTCTTATGATGCGAATGATTTTAGATAGTAATATCGTCCAAAGGAGATTTTGGGGCGTTACAAATTGAACTCATATAGACTATTTTAATGTAAAAAAAAAAATTACATGTGGTTATATGGGTATGGATAAATGGACCCGGTGTGGTCAATATTTATTCATAAATGGACCCGGTGTGGTCAATATAGTATAATTGCACAGGTTGTGTTTTGGGTAAAGCTCCCACGTGCAAAGGAGACTCTAGCCGTGAAGTACTTCTGAATTTTCTTGCAGTTAAGGCTACGTCCTCCTCTCTTAATCGGGGTGACTTGGATTTATCTCCCTTTTCTCTCATTGAGCTCAAAGCAATGCCTTTTGCTTTCTAAGGTATGGAAGTCCATCTCAAAAGTCAACCGACACCCACTCCATGTTGACGCTTATATCTAAGGACGTAACCTTTGCATGAAACCTATCGCATAAAGATTTCAAGATTTTCCATTTAATGAAAGCGTTATCAACTTTGGTATCTAGTGCAAAACATGAATTTACAATGTCGCACAATTTAGCGTAAAATTCACTAAACGTTTCATCTTCTTACATCCTCAAATTCTCGAACAGAGAGGTATACCTTTGGATTCTAAACATATTTACCATGGAAGTCCTTTCATGGAAAACAATCAAGATGTCGCATGCTTCTTTCGATAACTCGCAATTTGCAATCTTCTAGAACTCACATCATTAAATATCGCATTCAAGCCTTCCACCCCGCTTACTCGATTTCGAATTTGGACCAAATCTTCAGGGATTTCACTTCAACCAATGCTTCACCACCTTGTACCGATATGATAGCGATGGGATGGATCCAGCCCTCTTGCACAGTTAACTATACTCTCATCTATACATTTAAGAAATGTTCTCATGCAAGCTTTCTATAAGCGAAATTACACCCCGGGAAGAGTGGTGGTTGTGCAATTGAACCTCCTTCTTTCTGAGACTCCATTTGAAACCAACCAGTAGTAAAAATAGATATCTAAAAGGCAAACAAACTATGTATGTAAATAAATTACAAAACATGCCTACAAGTGTCAACGTACAACTTAGGACAACCACACTCTGAAGCTAGAGGGGGTGAATAGGTTTTTCAATTTTAAGCTTGAACAATCATAAATTAAAACCTATTACAACCAAAATTACCTATTCTCATAATGATTAGTCAATTAATAGTGAGAACCCCCCTTTCGTTGATTAACACAATCTCACACAGTAATCTCAACCTAGTGACATAAACCTTTGGATGCACAATAATGGATGATTTATATACCAAACACTTATTCAATCAAACACAAAGTGTGTGTGTATGCTCAAATTGCAAGTGTGTATGAAATACGATAAAGAATGTAATCAATTTGTTAGCGAAGAAACCCTTCCCATAAAAAATTGCAGGGAACCTTCTTGATTCATCAAAATCTAATCCACTATCCCAAAATCAGCTTACAAGTTCACAACTTTTATATCTCAACCAATACTATGATTAGATGGCCTCTTCCTTCAATAAACCTCTCCATCAAAGTGTCGCTTTGACATTATATGTAACTTCATTTGGATTCACCTCAGTGGGATCCTTTAAGCCTCGAGTGATCTTGGGCACACCAACTATCCTTAGTATGCATACTCTAATGGGTTTGGTCTTCAACCAACCAAGATCTTCAACACTAAGTTATGAGGTTGGGTAGAATCTCTAGATGGTAGGCTTGGGTTTAGGAATCTAGGGTTTAGGTTTGATCTCTAACGTGTAAGAGGTAAAAATTTAGCTCACAAAAGAGATCCCCTAGCTTGGGAAAGAATCTCCCTATTTCAGGCCTGGAATAAGAGCAATCTTGGTAAACAAAGAAACTCAAATTGTGAGTGACCACTCGATCAGTGGGAGGATAGTCATAGGATGGTGGTCTCGGGAATGAAAAATATGTTTCAAACTAACCTAGGAAGAACAAGACCGCTCGAGGGGCCTTGGGACCACTCGAGCGACCTCAAGGGCGGTCCCTGCTCCTCCTTCATTTGGCCTTTTTCCCATTTCTTCTCTAATTCATAAAGAGATTGCTCTAGCGAAGGCTTGTGAGCATAGGGCAATCCCTACTAGTTTTGTAAGTCTAAAACCAAGCAAAAAAATTGTCCTCTTGAGCACCAAAGAGTGTTGCTCAAGAGGGATCCGCTAATGGTTGAAACAATGTTTTTAAAAACACAAAATGGTTTTAGGAAATCTTTTTGTTGAAAACACCTAGGAGCCATACATAGATTAATCCAGTTCCATTTTAACTTTAATCATCCTGAGTCCATTAAACCATGGGATCATCTTAGGTCTCTAGATCATAGTTTTAAAACCCAGCCCAGACATCAACCTAGTAGAGAGACCGGGTCAACAGATTATTGGTTCAATCAGTGGGTCACTGGTTGAACCGGTAATATAATAATAAATAAGTTAAAAAATCAATGAAAATAGTATCCTTAATGCATCTTAAATCAAACAAAAATCATCAAATCATCAAATTGAATCTAACCACTGTAATAAAATCTATATCAAGTCAAATTTAACTAAAATTTTTACCAAATCAAACCTAAATACAAATAATCTTAGTTTTAGTGAATCAAAAAATCCGTAATTAATCAACCTGTAACCATACAATGCAATATTAGTGTGTATAATAAACCAATTGTAATGTGCAGAGAGAAAGGGGAGAGGACATACCTGCTGGTGACTAGTGTCTTGCTTGAGGGAAGAAAATGTACAGAGAATGAGTACTGAATCTGATAGAGGTCCGATCGAGTCCATGTCAAGCCTTCGAGTCTTCACCAGTTCCACTTCCACAGCACGCAGAGTGAGAGTCATCAGACAGACCT